TTATTATTTATATCTTGGTGTAATTACTTGCAGACGCGTTAAACGAATATGACGGGGGAATCAGAATGGTATCTGGACCAAACGCAACCGCTGGTATCTGGTCAACGTATCCACAGAATTTTGCCTCCGTAGCTACTTGTTTTGGAGACCAGGTAAATAATATATTTGATCAAATCGATAGTTATACTGAAAAAAAAACACAATATATAGGTACAGCGGTGTGCATATTCACAAAAAAATCAGTAAAATCAAATTACATCGCGATAGGTCTAATACATGAACTTATATTGTTGCATTGGTCCCAGCTCTCAGCGACTAATGGAAACGAGAATATACTGTTTCAGTAACCAGATAGTAGCATACAAGGACGTTTAATAGTTTTATACCAAAAATTGTTTTCTCCATCATTGGATTCTTAAATATAATAAAAGTTCTGTAATTGAATTAAGGATAACCACCGTGCCATAAAAGAAGAATTAGAAACGGGATGAATACCATCAGTCTTCCCAAAATATATTTCTAACGATTATCATTACATTTTTTTGTAAATAAATTACTATTAAAAAAAATAAGTTTTTTTTTTTCTTCTGATGAGCTTCAGAACGTTTGGTGTGAGAAACAACTGATGTACAGAAACATTTCATATTAAACAGATAAAACTAACAACCGGATAGTCATAAACCTTATGTAAAACCATAGAATAAATGCGTCACGATTCACTTGATGCAAATGTTGTTAACTTCGAGGATTATCTACGACTGTACACCAAATATAAAATATAAAATGAACTATTTCGATATAATTATAAATTTTTAAAGACTTTCAGATTCACACATTCCTTTACGTTTCAAATACGTAGTACTTTTACGACAGATCCTGTATAGACTATATCATATCACATCTCCTTATTTTTATAAGAAAATGATTTACACATATATACTGACAAACAAAATAGGAAAAGTCTTCAAATAAGAAAGATTGAAACATTTTGTGTCGAAACATTGACAAAAACAAGAAAACACACAAACTGTTTATTATAAAGTTTTCCACGTCAAAGATACAAAAATAAATGGTACAACTTGATTTTGTATATAGATTCTTGCAACAGGCATGCTACTAATCTGTATACTGGCAATAATAGATGAAAGAAATATGGAAACACCCAAAGGATTGATGCCAATCTCCATTGGTGTGATAGTGACTATGATTGGAATGACCTATCATTTCAACTGTGGATTCGCCATCAATCCAGCACGTGATTTGGCTCCACGAATATTCAGATCTATTGCTGGATGGGGAGTTGGAGTATTCAGGTAGTGCCATTAGCAACGAACGTGTCAAATATTTCGGTTCATTAAATATGAATAAAAAAACATTTTGGATAAACGGCAATGAGAAAGCAACCCTATAATACAATCAAATCAGAGGCCATGTTTTATACCGTATGTCTAAATCGTACTGATGCTCGACAAGTTGTGGATAAAAACAAAACACCATTATTTGTCATCAACATAAAAACAATTTATAGGACACAAAGAATGGGAGCCACTGACCCCACGGTCAAATTGAAATTATATCACATAAGCTTGTTATATCAAAGAAAAGTGTAAGGACAATATTCATGATTCTTATCTACCTGATATGTCCACCTTTAAGAAAATGCTTTTGATTGATTTACTCAGGTCATAAGAATCAAAAGTAAGGGTAGTATAAAGATTGTCATGTGAACGGTAGAACGTTATGTAAAATAACGTAATTCCATAAAGAATGGACAATATGCTTGAACGTTGCAATTCTCTCGATTTGCTAGGTAAATGCATGAAAAATAATAGTATGTAAGCATGATAAAAGCAGACAAAAAAACAGAAAATATAACAAAAAGGAGTTGTTGTTGGATTGCCATGGAGACAATTATCCACCACACCATACGACCTTGAACAATGAGCAAACCTCATACATGTACTGTAAAGTCAGCTTTAAAAGTCCCTACATGACAAAATATGAAACAATTTAAACGAGAAAATATACAAGATATGATATAACTGAGAACCCGTTTCAGAAAAGTATAACTCTTTACCAGTCTCCGACACAGGCACTTGTCTCAGAAAAAAATTTCCTATATACCTTAATGTATATAAAAAAAAAAATTTCTGAGACAAGTGCCTGTGGTCTCAAAACTGATTTTAAAGCCAACGTAAAACTAAACATTTGTAGTATAACAAATAATCACTGCGAAAATACTTGCATTTATATTGTCTCTATTAAATTTTTCCATATTTTTCAGTTACAATGATTACAAATATTTTTGGATACCTGTTTTGGGTCCGCACATAGGCGCCATACTTGGGGCCTTTTTGTACCAGGTTTTGATTGGATTTCACTGGCCGGAAGTTGTTGAAATAAGTAGCGAGATACCGTTTCAAGATATGAATGATAAATCCACAGGTATGATAGATCTCTCTCATCAGACTCATGTTGTATCTTTTAAAACAATCAACTGAACCTTAACGATTTTTATTTTTCTATATTAAGATTTGTATATTGCAGTGATAAAAACAAAATATATGACATGTATGAATAGTGCAGTTAAGAAACCATGTTGATGCCAACAAAAAACCCATAAAACAATATTTCTTTATTGTTTAGATACTTGTATATAATACGATTAATACCTATAAATGTAAGAAAATGAAATATGAATGCCTATGAGACAACTATTCAGCAAAATAAATTTTATTCATTCATTTGCAGGTATAAGGAATTTTTGTGTACACGATATTCACAAATACTTAAACCATTATAGTTTTTTCATCGTTGTGTAGATGTTTTGTGCTGCATACATTTGTACCTGCATGCAACTTTTATCAAAGAAAATGTCTTTCTTTGTTTTAGGAAAAAAGAAAGAAGTATACGACAACAGATCGAGGCATTTCACCTGATTGATAAAGTACGAAAATGCACAATATATTATAACTGTTATTACATAATTTATATCCTTGAGAACCACACAATAAATCATGTACATAAATATATGTACTTTATGGATTTTAAGTGGTTGAATCTATATATGTGTATATGTGTGTGTGTGTGTGAAATATCACTTTTATATCACAAAATAAAAGAATCGGTTTCACTTGTTAACATTATTGTTTTGTATTGTTTTGCGAGTTTCGATAATTTTCTGTTCATGTTTCCTTTGTTTTTTCTTACATTTTTTATATTTGTTCAGAATCCTCTTGATTTGTGCTATTTCAGACGATTTCTTTTGAAATACGGTGTATATTATAAATTGTAACGTATTGCATTCTCGAATGACATTCAAAATTCACAATTTGTCTTCACTAGATGAAAAGTAAGCAATTTGACCAGAAACCGATTTTATGGTTTGGAACAAAAAACAACATATTGTCCGTAAGATCTAATGGTATTCTTAAGGTCATCTAATTATCCGACAGATATGAGGGTATTCTTAAGGTGCTCTAATAATCCGCCAGATATGAGGGTATTCTTAAGGTGTTCTAATATTCCGCCAGATATGAGGGTATTCTTAAGGTGTTCTAATAATCCACCAGATGTAAGGTATTTAAAGGTATTCTAATAATGCAACAGATCCCCAGGTATTCATAGGTGTTCTAATAATCCGCCAGATATGAGGATATTTAAAGGTATTCTAATAATGCACCAGATCCCCAGGTATTCTTGAGGTGTTCTAATAATCCGCCAGATATGAGGGTATTTAAAGGTATTCTAATAATGCACCAGATCCCCAGGTATTCTTGAGGTGTTCTAATAATCCGCCAGATATTAGGGTATTTAAAGGTATTCTAATAATGCACCAGATCCCCAGGTATTCTTGAGGTGTTCTAATAATCCGCCAGATATGAGGGTATTTAAAGGTATTCTAATAATGCACCAGATCCCCAGGTATTCTTGAGGTGTTCTAATAATCCGCCAGATCTAATGTATTTAAGGTATTCTAATAATGCACCAGATCCCCAGGTATTCTTGAGGTGTTCTAATAATCCGCCAGATATGAGGGTATTTAAAGGTATTTTAATAATGCACCAGATCTCCAGGTATTCTTGAGGTGTTCTAATAATCCGCCAGATCTAATGTATTTAAGGTATTCTAATAATGCACCAGATCCCCAGGTATTCTTGAGGTGTTCTAATAATCCGCCAGATATGAGGGTATTTAAAGGTATTCTAATAATGCACCAGATCCCCAGGTATTCTTGAGGTGTTCAAATAATCCGCCAGATATGAGGGTATTTAAAGGTATTCTAATAATGCACCAGATCCCCAGGTATTCTTGAGGTGTTTTAATAATCCGCCAGATCTAATGTATTTAAGGTATTCTAATAATGCACCAGATCCCCAGGTGTTCTTTTGAATGTTCTAATAATCCGACAGATATGAGCTAGGGTATTTAAACATGTTAAAGGTATTCTAATAATGCACCAGATCTGAGGATGTTCTTGAGGTGTTCTTATAACGTATAATGCACCAGGCCTTAGGTATTCTTAAGGTGTTAAATAATATTGCTATAAATTTTTAAATATGTGTTGTCCGTTAGGAACTCTGCAATCGTAATAAAATAATAACATCCATGTTTTTAAACTGATATTAGCTACATTGAAATGATAGCGGTCTTTTCCAATTGATTCTGTCTTGAACATGTTGCCCAAATGAACTGAAGGTTTAAGACATTTTCCGTCCGAGACATTAACTTGTTTAGACAAAATATACCTGTTTCAAAATTTATGTGAACAGTAGTAATCTTATGAATGAAAACCACGACGAGGTTAAGAACTTCACCTGGCATGAAGATAACATAGGTCAACGTGATAAGTCTTCTACTCGAAAGTGTGATTTTAGATTGGCTACCAGCTAAAGATATGATTGAGAGCTTGTACATGTGTGTGAATAAAATGGTTTATTTAATCTCGTTTATATATTTACATGACCCAGTTCTGTCGATATAATATATCCAGTGTAGTGCATATGTAAACTTCGAAACTGCAACAAAATGGAGGCATTTGCCAGTAAAGTTAGAATAAGAAATAATATTATTCGTGAAACGTTTGCTGAATTTTTAGGAACCTTCACTCTAATAGTAGGTAAAGCCAATTAATCATTTTATGTATAAAAAAATGTATTACACGTATAGCCAGTTTCCGATTAGTGTTTCTCCACGTAATGTTGTATATAAAATTGAAAAGTGTATTGAGGTAAATAAACGTTCTTGTTTCCTGTGATCTTGTCAGTTTCGCAATGAATTTTCTTAATTTATTTCGACGGATAATACGACAAATAATCGATACAACGACTGTTTGTCGACACTTCAATTATCTATGTATTGTTTTGTGCCCTCAGAGTTTAAGAAACAACTACAAAACCGTTCTTCAATATTTTTCGATTGACCATTGATATAAAAATGAGATGTGGTATGATTGCGAATGAGGCATGCAACTATCAATATTCCAGTGGATTTAATTATTTATTCAAGCAATTATAAGTCACCGTATGGCCTTAAACGATGAGAAAACCTATATTACAATGTAAATAGTCAGTTAGAAAAGGACACGACATGAAAAATTTCAAACGAGAACACTAACCGTCTAAGAAGTAGGCCCGGTTAGACCCCTTTTTGGCAAAAAAAATATAGCATTTTTACTTTGTTAAAAATGTAAACTTTTAGATATTTAGTTCGAAAGTAGAATACTTTTGTTACATAAACATAGATATAGGAAGATGGACTGTTTTCTGACAATACAATGCACATGCATCAGGTACTAGCATCATTAACACGGTTTTTGTCAATGACAATGCAACTTATAACTAAAGATTAGTTCTAAAATTCACCTGATATGTTGCTATTCACCATTTAAATCTTAAAACTATTAAAGAACTAATTGTGTCTTTCACTTATAGTGTCTGGATTTAACGCATCCTGACTTCTGTGAAATTGCATTTTTATCAACTAGTAGTCAACAACAACAAAAAGATACAAAGCAACAAAATATTTTTTTATAAAGAAATGCAAAAATACACAATACATTCAGAGTTCATGCGATTACCCAATGCGGATGAAGCCTTTTTTCTTGTGATTTATAATTTTAAAAAATGGATTTACAAGTATTGAACATCGATCGATAGGTGACTGTGGTTTTAGCGACAATGCCTTAATGCATATTATATCTCGTTCGTTTCAGTCCTTCCTCGTTGGTCATGTTCGTCTAGATCTGTTGATGTGACAATTTTCAGTACAGAATTGACATGAGTCATTAATGAATACATTTCAATTGATCATCATAAATTTCTGACAGACTGCACGAATATGAAAAGAGAATGCACTATTTACCACAACAAGACTTTACAAGAAGAGTAACAGTTCTGATGAAAAAATATTACAAGCATACACCGTCGTCAGTTGTGCAACAAAAATCATCACCGAAATCATAAAACGTCACTCTGATAATCAAAATCCTTACAAATCTTCTGATCAAATGTCATCAAAGCCTGACCCTAAACTGCCAATTTGACAATTTTGACAACATTCTGCACAGTATCGCATTTCTGTCCATATGTTGTCTTTATCTGTTCACTTTTGTTTTTTAAAACCATTCATAATCTTTTACACACAGTATGAATGTAAAAGAAAGTGACTCCTTGCTTGTGGTTTTGTCCTTATTATTAACAGTAAAAAAAACAGTGACTTGTAAATGCTCATGTCGTTTGGTTTTTGGTGAATAGTTGTTCATTGGCAGTCATACCACATCTCCTTATTTATAAATCGTAAATCTGATTAACACAGACTTTAGATTATCACAAACGTTAAGAGGCAACCTAATGATACTGACATGGCGAACATAAAGATATTGCATTATGTTGCCACAGAATTGCAGATGATGACACAATATTGTTGTATGATTTCATGAAAGTAGTAACAGTGCTGTTTTGTAATTTCCATCAAAACAATGACAAAGTAAAGTCATTAATATGTGTCTAGCACTGTAAATTTTCATTTACCACTTAATTTCTTGAGAATTTAGGTCCTGTTTAAAATATGATTATAATTATTGTATATTGATAGAAAATCGTGATACTATGATTAAGTTGGGTCTTCAAGTACATGTAGTATGACCAAATGCCCTATCGACATTACGCTAATGATTTGTCAACAAAACAATGTTCAATGGTTGTCGTTTGTTGATGTGGTTCATAGTGAAGTGTTTCTCGTTTCTCGTTTTTTATATAGATTAGACTGTTGGTTTTCCTGTTTGAATGGTTTTACACTAGTCATTTTTGGGGCCCTTTATAGCTTGCTGTTTGGTGTGAGCTAAGGCTCCGTGTTGAAGGCCGTACTTTGACTTATAACGGTTTACTTTTACAAATTGTGACTTGGATGGAGAGTTGTCTCATTGGCACTCATACCACATCTTCTTATGTAAGTTCTATATAAACAAAGAAAACAAACGAACACTTCTAACTATATGTTTCCTTATAGTATATATAGAAATATTTGCTCACCACGATTACATATTCCAAAATTGTTGATAGTAAAATAAGGAGATGTGGTTGTATTGCCAGTTAAAATGACGAAGTTGGTAAGCAAATACAGTTGACCGTACGGTCTTCAATAATGAGCAAAACCCGTACCGCATAGTTAGATATAAAAGGCCCCGAAGTGGCAAATGTCAAACAATTCAAACGAGAAAACTAACGGCATTTGTGTACAAAACAATAAAAAAAATATGATATATAACAAAAAACTACAACCACAGAAGTACAGGCTCCTGGTTTGGGACAGGCGGGGTTAAACATGATTGCGGGCGCGGAAACCCTCCTATCCTCGGACTGTGGTGTAACAGAACAACATAAGAACAAACTATAAAAATCAGTTGTTTACTGATACATCATTCTTTTGTAATTTTAGATATTTGGAGATGGATCTGTTGCACAAGCTGTTTTGAGTCGGAATACGGTTGGAAATCACATGTCTATACATTGGTCATGGGGTATAGGTGTAACAATGGGAGTTTACATAGCTGGTGGCATTTCAGGTAAAACAAGATCAACTTAACATTACGTGGGTATAAACAGATGCAAAGATATGGTACCGTGTCCTGCACATTCAATTATCCTTTTTGGTTTATTAAGTTTTTTTCTTTTGAATTCATTTAAAGTTCCGTTAAAGAAAAGGGGATGTGGATTTTTAAAACAATAAAACGGCAAGCCCTCGACAAAAAAAAAACACCAAAAGACATTAGGTTTAAGATACTGTTTCACCACTAAACTGGTACGTTATTAAAGAATGAGTGGGATTTCAAACTTTTATTGATAATTGATATAATAAAATTTACATATAAAAAAGAAGATGTGGTGTGATTGCCAATGAAACAACTCTTCACAAGAGACCAAATGACACAGAAATTAACAACTATAGGTTATAGGTCACATGGTTGTTTCCAGTAAACGATGATCTATGGTTGAATATTTAACGATAATCGTGGATCATTCTTTAGGGCAAAAAGCGATTTTTTTGTCGGGGAGGGTAGGTTAAATCAAATTCTTCGGGCCACATATCCTACATCTCCTCTAATTGTAGGTGTTCTGAGTCGTCCATCGTTATATTCAGGAATAAGATCATGCTGTCAATATCATACATTTCAGGGGGACATTTGAATCCAGCTGTTACCGTGGCCCTGGCCTGCATCAAGAAAGTCCCATGGAAGAAAGTACCATTCTATATGATAGGCCAGTACTTGGGAGCTTTCGTTGCCTCAGTTACGATCTATTTTGTGTATTACGGTAAGTAACAAGTTAAATACAGTTTTTGAAATGAATAAGTGTTGGCATTTCTGAAGTAACGTCATTTAGTTGAGGAACGAAATGAAAATTTAGGAAAGTTAGCAAGGTGCCAGAAAACAATAAGAGCTTTAACTTGAAAAATTTTTGAATTTTTTTTAAATAGTATAAACATAAAAATACATCTTAAAAATCTTCTAAAAACCTTCTAAAAACCTTCTAAAAACCTTGTACAAAAGTTGTCGGAAAGAGTATAATTACATTGAGATTTTTACACCAAATGATAACCATTCGGTTTAGAAGTCCATATTATTTGCATGATACTTTTGGTAATCAGATATGAAAATAAGAAGATGTGGTTTGATTTCCAATGAGACAACTCTCCATCCAAGTCACAATTCATAAAAGTAAACCATTATAGGTCAAACATGTTTGCTGGCGCTAAACCCTCTCCTTAACCTGAAACAGTGGTGTAACAGTACAACATAAGAACAAACTATAAAAATCCGTTGAAAGCGCTTAACCCATCAGATCGATACAAAGCTCATAAACACTCTAACAAAAACACAAAAAGTACAAAACGCAGATCTGGGAGTACTAGCAGGTACTGAAAGCTAGTTAAATGCCAATAACAACAGTCAGTCAAAAATATGACCTTGTGCAATGCCCAAAAGGATGTACCGACAGATTGTAGAACCGTGAATGTACGTACATGTGTATACCAACAATAAAATTTAGTTTGGTTTTAATTTACTGAAAAAAAATTATATGTATACCGGTAAAACTTTAAGGGAAATTGGGGAATCGTTTAATTCTTTATAATCTAAAAATTGATTACAAATTGATTCTTTGTTCATGTTAATGAACCTTTACAGTAACTTTAATAGTTTCGATAGTAGACATGTTTGAAGGCAAAATATTCATGTTCCAGATAAACGCGTTTTCAAGCGGCACTTAATATTGTCATAACATTTATCCAGGACGACCTACTTTGAGAAGCTACTTATTAATTTGATTGTGTTCGACCTGAAAATTCATGAAATCAGTTAAGCAACCATCAATCAGTGTATACATGAATATACTTCACTATAATCTTAGATGCTCTGAATAATTTTGATGGAGGAAACAGGATGGTATCGGGACCGAATGGCACAGCTGGTATCTGGGCAACATATCCACAGGATTTTGCCTCAGTAGCTACATGTATAGGTGACCAGGTATACATACTCTTTACATAGTCTTTTGATATTAGTTGATAGTTAAATGTGTATATAATTGAGAATCGTTTGTATCACATCTTACATTTGTCTTAGCTTTATAAGTGTCCATACCTTTCGTAAAATACTAAAGTTAGCGTATAAATCAAACAATAAATATTCAAAATTTGGAACTAAAATGCAAAAACAGCAGATGTACAACCTGAATCTATAGTTTGCTTCTTCACAACAACTAAAAAAACAGACGAATCATAAAATTGGAATTGACTAATGCACAACACTTTTTTAACAGCTTCTAGGAACAGCGATGCTTCTGTGTTGTGTACTTGCAGTAACAGATGACAGAAATATGGAAACACATAAAGGATTAATACCATTCTCCATTGGTTTAATAGTTGTTGCCATAGGAATGACCTATCATTTTAACTGTGGATATGCCATTAATCCTGCACGTGACTTAGGTCCTAGAATATTCACTGCTATTGCAGGGTGGGGTGTGGAAGTATTCAGGTAAATATTATTATTTCTTTTTTTTCGTTTAACATTCTCGTCGATTGTGTAAAACAGATAATCAACAAAAAAGAAGTTTTTATGACTCACCATCTAAAGAAAAGTACCTAAACTCTCCGTAAGTTCAACAGGCAGCCATTAAAAAATATATCAATGATGTATTTGCAAGCATTTTTAAACAGAGACGAGCTAACAAAATCACATACTTTACATGATTGCAACACTAACTAGAGGCTCTAAAGAGCCTGTGTCGCTTACCTTGGTCTATGTGCATATCAAACAAAGGACACTCTCCAACATTGTAGACGAGAATAGACTTCATGACAAAAATCTTGTATTACTGATCTTTTAGTCTGTTTAGTTTCTCTCTATCTGCTTTATTTTTTGCTCAAAACACAAAAGAGGGTAAAAAAAATCCTCATTTAAGGGCAATCACTCCTATGAAGAGTGACAGTCTACTAACTATATCGGCAAAATTTGACTTTTTAACAAATCTTGCCTTGTTGATCATTTTTGTGATTTAAAGTGTTTATTTTCCTATTATAATTTAAATCAAATAAGGCATAACGGAAAAAAAATGTTTCTCTCTAAATATCATAGTTTTTATGATAATAGGCAAAAATTAAAAAAAATAGTAAAATTTGTCATTTATGGGCAATAACTCCTATAAGAATTTGTCAAACTGTTTTGACGTATATGGACAATTGGTAGAACTCATTATTCTGAACATTTTTGCTCCTTTCAGATTTTCTCTATTTATAACGGTTCAAAAAATAATAGACAAAACTTGCATTTTACCCCTATGTTCTATTTTTAGCCATGTCGGCCATGTTGGTTGGTAGCAGGGTCATCGGTCATGATTGTGGCCAAGTTTGGTTAAATTTGTCACAGTAGTTTCAGAGGAGAAGATTTTTGTAAAAGATTACAAAAAAATTGTTCAAAATTGACTTTGGGGTCAATTGACCATTTTGGTCATGTTTGACTTATTTGTAGATCTTACTTTGCTGAACATTATTGGTGTTTACAGTTTATCTCTATCTATAATAATATTCAAGATAATAACCAAAAACTGCAAAATTTCCTTAAAATTACCAATTTAGGGACAGCAACCCAACAACAGGTTGTCTGACTTGTCTGAAAATTTCAGGGCAGATAGATCTAAACCTGATGAACTTTTTACCCCTGTCAGATTTGCTCTAAATGCTTTAGTTTCAGAGATATAAGCCAAAATCTGCATTTTAACCCTATGTTCTATTTTTAGCCATGTCGGCCATGTTTGTTGATAGGCCGGGTCATCAAACACATTTTTTAAACTAGATACCCTAATGATGATGAGAAAAGCTCACTTGGCCCTTTGGACCAGGTGAGCTGAAAAGGTATATTCTTACTTTCTAATATTTCGGGTGAAACAACAGTGGGTGAAACAACAGTTCGAATACACAATATGGTACGCTATTGAATGAGATATATAGAATAGTGACATTTTTGTTTTTGATACTGACTTTATCAGCAAGAATATAAAGCGAGCCTTTTTGGGCGAGCTGATATTCGAGTTGATGAAGTCAGTATCAAAAAATAAAATGCAATTAATCTTTTTATCGGCAATTTGTCTTGACTGTATGTTTTATTGGTTGAGAATATGAAGTAAAATGAAATAGTTAGTGAAACTACTTTTACGCGTACAGTACTTTGGAATAGTTGTTCGGCTTTATGAATGAAGTCGCGTGCATTCATTGATAAATTGACGCGGATAGACATGAACGCGTATTTATATATTTTTATACTTATTGCAGTTATAATGACTACAAATATTTCTGGATACCTGTTTTGGGTCCACACGTAGGAGCCATATTGGGGGCCTTTTTATATCAGTTTCTGATAGGATTCCATTGGTCAGAAGTGGTTGAGATTACTAGTGATATACCGATCAAAGAGATTAAAAACACAGTTGTTAAAGGTAAGGTAATTTCTATAGAAAACTTTTTCATGAATAATCTTAATTAAATAAAATATCTTAACTCAATATTCAATATTGTTTATTTGGTTGAATATGCTCTATATGTATGCCGGCTATATGGTATGAGGTCTTCTCATTGTTGAAGGCCGTACGATTGCCTGTAATTGCTTACATCCACTTTCTTTGAACTTTGGTGGATAGTTGTCTCATTTGCAATTATACAGCATCTCATATGTGTATAAGTATAAGTATATAAGTATGCAACAATGATTTCATCAATTTCGGATGGAACTTATCGCTGAAATGCACTTGATCAAAATAGTATTCTTGTTTATTAGATTACACAAGTGTCCTGGTGTCGTAAGTGTGTGTAACTATAGGTCAACGTATGACCTTCAACAGTCCGCCACCAGTCTTACCAATCATATAGTAGTAGGAATCAGTTGATATTTCCCTGAATGATTTATAAGAAACACTAATAATCTTATTAAAATCGGAGGAATAAACAATGAAGGTTCTGTAATGTACAAGCTGCCGGTTGATGACAGAATATTGCTGAGAAAACATAACATAGACGTCTGTAATAAGATTCCAATTTGTAAAATTTTGTTTATAACTTATCACTAAGCAGCATTAAATTTAAACACAATTTTGTTGTAGAAAAAACAGGACATACCTACGACAACAGAAGCCTGTCTCCAGATTCCTAGCACAGCATGTGATATCAACTGAAATGTGCTGTTTTCATAGTTTTAATACTGAACGAACATTGTTCAAACTTTTTAAAACATTTATCATGCCACACGTTTTTTCTACATTACATTAGTTTTAATGCATTTCTAGAATTTATTTAATTTAAAAAAAAATGAGATTGTGACATATTTTGATAACTGCTATATCTGTACTTTAAAATTTAAAATTATCGTATTCTTTAACCCTTAAAAAGTCTTTTCAATGCATTTATTTAATAATCGGTATGAGTGACATAATAGTTTGTAGGTGGAGGGAACATAAATTTTGAGAGACGAAAGCAGAAAAATATGTAAGGTCAACAAATGCTTTTTGAGAGAGAAGTTCCTATATTCTGCGAGAAATTTTGGTAGATTAAGTGTTTTATTATATTTGTCACAGAATGTGAAAAATGGGGATTACATAGGCGGCGGTGGTGGTTAACTATTTGCATAAATCATTATATGTCAGAGGGTAGAAGACCTTGATGATCCATACCTTATATACAGATGCGTTATGTTACAAAGGTTCCGTCTCTTATATGTCCTTGACTTCATATTCATTGTTCAGCGACTCCTTGAAAATATGAAATTTCACTTATTATTAGCATTGGGATAACTTTACTTAGTATACAAAATCCTTGCAAGGTTTACATGTCTGTCAGATAGCTAAGGGTTCACCTGACCTCGACCTAATTTCATAAATCAATGATCAATGTTAAGTTTTCGTAGTAAAGTCAGTATCTTAGATACTATATGAAGTAGGTCAACTATATTAGGTGTGAGGAACGATTATAAGGTCTGCATGTCTGTCTGGCAGAGTTAATCTGACCTTGGTCTAATTTTAAAAGTTCATTGGTCAATGTTAACTGTTCGTGTTTAAGTCCTTTTCTCGGATATTATAATCAATTGGTCAAATATCTTTGGAATTGAAAGGTGTACAAGTCTGGCAAGGTTTATCTGACCTTGACTTAATTCTCATTGTTCATAGGTCAATGTTATGTTTAATGCTTAAGTTCGTTTCTCAGATACTATAAGCATGATAAGCAATAGGTTAAATATAATTGATGTATGAAATGTTTGCAATGTGTACATGTATGTGTATTTAGCAGAGTTCATTTGACTTTGACATAATGTTCATGGATCATTGGTAGAAGTTTAGTTTTCTTGGTCAGCTCTGTTCTCGGATGCTTTAAGCAATATACTATTTATTTTGGTGTATAGAATGATTGTTATGCTTACATATTCTTCTGACAGGGTTCACCTGACCTTTATCTCAAATACTTGGATCATTGATTATGTAAATTTTATGTAATAGTTGTTGTATAATCCTTTTTTTAAGACTTTGATATAAATTAATCACGATCGGTAAACAGGCGAGACATTTCTGCATGTGCACTCTTGTTTTATTACTGTTAAGATGCATTATTTTTAATCTTATCATTATTATTGTCTGTTTTGTGTATTGCGTAACCCTTTACTGGTAACTTTAGCTTTTTAAGCTGTTCCTAAATGTGCAACTGAAAATTGGCTTTCGAATTAAAAAAATCTCCGTGACTTTCAAGAGGTTGGAAGGGACAATTGCACCTCAACTCCACGTACTACCAACTCAGTTAATCATATATTCTTTTGCTCAGCTTCCTTTTGTTGTAATTGCTAATATTTTACCCTCTGACGGAAAATTTAAATTTTGTTGATTATATATATATGATTTGTACATTTAAACTTTAGTTAATTTGCTACTCAGACTTTAAAAAACGTCATTAGTGTCTGAGCAGAAGTTGATGAAACAGGGTTATATCGAAGAACGTCTCGTCCTTTTTCCAAAAACAAATAATCGGAAGATACCAATACCTTGTTGATAAATATTCCGTATCAACTTCACAAACAATACATGCTGGTCTTGAAGTATAGATTCTGGGTACTGACGTTGTTTATCATCTTAATTACTTGTCTTTGTAAATTTATCTTTACTGTTCAGTCCATTTTCGGTAAATAAATATTCTTTTGGCGTGGCTCGGTATTTATACATCCCGCTTTTGTGTTATTGTGCTATGGTAATTTTTTCTATTCTTATCTTTCATTTTTGCTGATGTGTTTTTTCTATACAGTGTTTATATACCATATTTTTTCTTTGTTGACATAGTTGTATGTTTCTATAGTGATTTAAATTATAACACAATGTTGACTGCTGTACCCCAATTTTTGACATTTTTATCTTATATGTCTGTTTGCTTTGCTCATGCATTGTTGTCAAATTGATAGTATTTTAAGCGACTGTCATACAAGTGAGAAGTTTAGCTAGCTATAAAACCAGGTTTAATCCACCATTTTCTACATAAGGAAATGCCTGTACCAAGTCAGGAATATTTCCTTTCGTTTGATGTTTTGAGCTTTTGATTTTGCCATTTTATAAGGGACGTACCGTTTTGAAATTTCCTTGGAGTTCGGTATTTTTGTTATTTTACTTTTGTCATTTAAAAGGATGTAAAATGTATTATTCTTATTTACAATTTTTCACCAATCCCTATAAAAGATATGACAAGTCTGCTTATGACGTGTTAAGTATGAATCTTTTCCAGACACCTCAAATAAGAAAGGACATGCATAATAAACCCGGTTGCAAAGCGTTGCTTGATCTATATTTAGAAATATGTTTGGTTTTTTTTTTTTATAAAACAAATACTTACGCTATGTATAATAATCTTGTAAACAAACTATATGCAGTATAAATCTTTTGATTTTTAAATTTACGTGAAATTATTTGACCTGCATCAAATGAAATTTGGCTAATGGTCAAATACTTTATCTTATGATCAACTGATATCAATATATTATATTATCATATATTGATATTGTATACGTTCGTAAGGAATACAACCAATTGATGAATATTTTATTGGATTTCAAGCCCACATGTTCCTTAATATTACCTTATCTGTGTAACTACGATTAAATTGGTAAAACTATATGATTTTCATTTTGAAAAGACGTACTAAAGGAGCGTCAATAGCCATTAGTTCAAATCTTCTAGAATTGAAACTTACCAGTCAATAGATGACAAAACAACTCGGTAGATTAAAAGAGGGGCGAATGATACCAAAGGGACATTCAAACTCGTAAGTCGAAGATAAACTGACAACATTCAGGTTTGTTTTATATGACGTGTAGGAGTTCTGTTTTTTTAATTAGCAAAGTTGTTTTACAAGTTTTCAACTATAACATTTTGGCAATTTTGTTCTTTTGCATTCCGTACTCTGTCTTTCAAAGCTGGTCAGCTTGGAAAGCTTCATTTACAATTTACGATAAAAGAGAGGATATCTCGTTTCTATTGTTTGTTTTCTCTTTTGGACGGTGATGTTCTATGTTCGCTATGTTCGTGTTAGTGACGTTTTTGATGAACGTAAGATATGTATAACTGAGATTTCGTTACCATAATTTACTTAAATGTTATACGAAATTCTTATATAATTTCACATATTGGGGCATATCGTTGGTTTCAATATGACGCGTCAATACCTAATTCCTTTATCAAACAAATGTGATTTAGGACATCATTTAAGGATTTGTCTACAGGAACAATAGCATCTTGGTCTTGGAGATAGGACAGTTGTTTAACATGATGTGGGTCTTTAACCTTTTGGATATCATATTTCGTATAGAAGTGGTGTTCACAATGTTATGGTCAACAGTTACAGTTGCGTGGCTTGCGCATGTGCAGTAAGGAGGTTTAAACTTGAAGTCGTTAGTATTGACATTCTGTAAACCGCGTTTTAAGTTGAAAATTTAAGCTGTGGTTAAAGTGTAAGATATGATTGGAACAGACTGATCTTAAAAGAAAGGAAATATCTTATATTTGACTGATCTATGATAAAAGATTTTGTCTAAACTAATGGCTTCGAGACCTTGATTGGCAAAGAAAAGCTTTAGAAAGATTTTTTTTTCTCAGTTTCAGTATTTCAAAACCCAACCGGACTTAGTTCTAATGAAATATGCAAATATTGATGAAGGATTTGTGGGTGTTACATTGCATTGTAATGAAGGAATTTACGTTATTGTATCGTATATTAATAATCTTTAAATACAGAAAACATGATTAACCAAATGAGACTTTGATGTATAAGGGGAGAAACAGCAGATGATTTAATTTTATAAAGGAATGTACAGACAATATATCTATTTTGTAATTTAGCAATATTCTGTAATTAATGTAGTCGCACTATCTGGGGCGTAAATAAATAGTAGACTATGTAGGATTCTGGATAGTTTTTATTATCGTAAAGCATCAAATGAAACCCTGTAATATAATATCCCATTTAATAACAACGTATATATACTAATTCTTTTAAAACATGTATTATATCAATATGATAAATTTACGTAATCTGTGTACTTACAAAAATTAACCAATTAACTGAAAAATACGTCACAGTTTATGAAAATAACAAAATGCACAATTAAACCTTATCTTATCAAAATATTACTTCCTGTAACATTCGAAACAGAATTTAACTTGTCAAAAAAGCAAAATAGAAATATAGTTTCTCATTTAGCAATAACATTATAATATACGAATTGGCCGTTAATAGTTAACTAAGGTACCAGGATTACAATCCAACACGTCAGACGCGCGTTTCGTCCACACAAGACCCATCAGTGACGCTCAGATCAAAACAGTTATAAAGCCAAACAAGTACAAACCCAAAGAGCATTGAGGACCCAAAATTCCAAAAAGTTGTGTCAAACACGGCCAAGGTAATCTATTCCTGGGATAAGAAAATCCTTAGTTTTTCGAAAAATTTTAAGTTTTGTCAACAGGAAATTTATCAAAATGACCATATAATTGATATTCATGTCAACACCGAAGTGCTGACTACTGGGCTGGTGATACCCTCGGGGACGAAACGTCCACCAGCAGTGGCATCGACCCAGTGTTGTAAATAGTTATCAAAGGTACCAGGATAACAATCCAACTATAAAACTATATAAACTATAAACAAACAGTCTAAGCAAAATAAGCATTAATAAAGCCAATAACAAAAAGCAGTTAACTAATAAAGCTAAACTAAGCTAAACAAAGCAAAATAACTAAGCTAATAAAACAATAAGCAACTACAACTGAAACACTCATTCTTACCTCGTATGA